TTGGTTGGTGTTGGTGAAGTTCTTGGTTGGTGTTGGTGAGTTTCTTGGTTGGTGTTAGTGAAGTTCTTCGTTGGTGTTGAAGCTCTTCGTTAGTGTTGGTGAAGTTCTTGGTTGGTGTTGGTGAAGTTCTTGGTTGGTGTTGGTGAAGTTCTTGGTTGGTGGTGGCGAAGTTCTTGGTTGGTGGTTGGGTGGTGAAGTTCTTGGTTGGTGGAAGTTCTTGGTTGGTGGTGAAGTTCTTGGTTGGTGTTGGTGAAGTTCTTGGTTGATGGTGGTGAAGTTCTTGGTTGGTGGTGGTGAAGTTCTTGGTTGATGCTGGTGAAGTTCTTGGTTGGTGGTGGTGAAGTTCTTGGTTGATGGTGGTGAAGTTCTTGGTTGGTGGTGGTGAAGTTCTTGGTTAGTGCTGGTGAAGTTCTTGGTTGGTGTTGTTGAAGTTCTTCGTTGTGTGAAGTTCTTGGTTGGTGTTGGTGAAGTTCTTGGTTGGTGTTGGTGAAGTTCTTGGTTGGTGGTGGCGAAGTTCTTGGTTGGTGTTGGTGAAGTTCTTGGTTGGTGTTGGTGAAGTTCTTGGTTGGTGTTGGTGAAGTTCTTGGTTGGTGTTAGTGAAGTTCTTCGTTGGTGTTGTTGAAGTTCTTCGTTAGTGTTGGTGAAGTTCTTGGTTGGTGTTGGTGAAGTTCTTGGTTGGTGGTGGTGAAGTTCTTGGTTGGTGGTGGTGAAGTTCTTGGTTGATGGTGGTGAAGTTCTTGGTTGGTGGTGGTGAAGTTCTTGGTTGGTGTTGTTGAAGTTCTTCGTTGGTGTTGTTGAAGTTCTTCGTTAGTGTTGTTGAAGTTCTTGGTTGGTGTTGGTGAAGTTCTTGGTTGGTGTTGGTGAAGTTCTTGGTTGGTGGTGGTGAAGTTCTTGGTTAATGTTGGTGAAGTTCTTGGTTGGTGTTGGTGAAGTTCTTGGTTGGTGATGGTGAAGTTCTTCGTTGGTGTTGTTGAAGCTCTTCGTTAGTGTTGGTGAAGTTCTTGGTTGGTGTTGGTGAAGTTCTTGGTTGGTGGTGGTGAAGTTCTTGGTTGGTGGTGGTGAAGTTCTTGGTTGGTGGTGAAAGTTCTTGGTTGGTGGTGGTAAAGTTCTTGGTTGGTGATGATGTTCTTGGTTGGTGGTGAAGTTCTTGGTTGGTGGTGGTAAAGTTCTTGGTTGGTGATGATGTTCTTGGTTGGTGTTGGTGAAGTTCTTGGTTGGCCGTGAAGTTCTTTGTTGTTGTTGAAGTTCTTGGTTGTTGTTGGTCAAGTTTTTGGTTGCTGAAGTTCTTGGTTGGTGGTGAAGTTCTTTGTTGTTGTTGTTGAAGTTCTTGGTTGTTGTTGGTGAAGTTTTGGTTGTTGAAGTTCTTGGTGTTGTTGTTCTTTTTTGTTGTTGAAGTTTTTGGTTGTTGAAGTTCTTGATTGGTGATGGTGAAGTTCTTTGTTGTTGTTGTTGAAGTTCTTGGTTGTTGTTGGTGAAGTTTTGGTTGTTGAAGTTCTTGGTGTTGTTGTTCTTTTTTGTTGTTGAAGTTTTTGGTTGTTGAAGTTCTTGATTGGTGATGGTGAAGTTCTTTGTTGTTGTTGTTGAAGTTCTTGGTTGTTGTTGGTGAAGTTCTTGGTTGGTGGTGGTGAAGTTCTTGGTTGGTGGTGGTGAAGTTCCTGGTTGGTGTTGGTGAAGTTCTTGGTTGGTGTTGGTGAAGTTCTTGGTTGGTGTATGTTGAAGTTCTTGGTTGGTGTTGAAGTTCTTGGTTGATGGTGGTGAAGTTCTTTGTTAGTGTTGGTGAAGTTCTTGGTTGGTGTTGTTGAAGTTCTTGGTTAGTGCTGGTGAAGTTCTTGGTTGGTGTTGGTGAAGTTCTTGGTTGGTGTTGGTGAAGTTCTTGGTTGGTGTTGTTGAAGTTCTTGGTTAGTGTTGGTGAAGTTCTTGGTTGGTGTTGTTGAAGTTCTTGGTTGGTGTTGAAGTTCTTGGTTGGTGTTGAAGTTCTTGGTTAGTGTTGGTGAAGTTCTTGGTTGGTGTTGTTGAAGTTCTTGGTTGGTGTTGGTGAAGTTCTTGGTTGGTGCTGGTGAAGTTCTTGGTTGTTGTAAGTAAATCTCACTTGGTGGTCAAATTTTTGCTTGTTCGTGAAGTTTTTGGGTTTTATTCAAGTTTCTGGTCCTGATAAAGTTTCTATTGTCTGTCTGTGAATTTTCTTTATTTCTGGCTGTTGTTCCTGCTTCAGTGTCTATCCCGTGATATTACTCTTTCAAGAAACAAAATACCTGACTCCAATAATCACGTTTTCCTGTATTTTTCTCTAGTGAGTTTGAGACAGTGATCAGGTTGTGGTGGGCGTGTGTGTGTGATGGTGACTGCTTAATTAACCGAAGAGGCTGGACTATATGGAAGGCTGGTAGTGCAGGTTTAAATTAATTTGCAATATTTGACGTGACTCGTTGGAGGGGAAGCGGACAGACTGCCAGTGGTGGACCATATTTCACAAACTGTATCATTCAAAAAAAAAAAGAAAAAGAAAAAAGAAGCTCTTTATACTTGGGAGGTGGTTGATGAATTTCAGAATGAACACTGCGACTCCTGTTGTCTCGGTAGGGTTATCAAAATAATCATGACAAAAAAACGAAAAAAAAAACAAATAAAATAAAAATAAAGTCCACTTGACCAGGGTAGAGTTTTGACTATAGGTTTGTTTCTGTTGAAAAATTATATAATGCTAACCTACTGTACATATATTACGGAAATAAACATTAATTTACACCTTCTTGTATCTTATCACATATCGAGCTTTTTCATAATGTATATTTTACTCGCCAACAAACACTAAGGAGTTTCATAACTGACAGTGAGGAAATGTTCTCATGGCGGCGTTGTACAGTATAGCCGAATTCTCATAGTTCTTACTTTGAATTTTCGCTAATAATGTTAAAATGCAGCTGGTGTGGTCCTGGCAGCTGGTGTGGTCCTGGCAGCTGGTGTGGTCCTGGCAGCTGGTGTGGTCCTGGTAGCTGGTGTGATTCTGGTAGCTGGTGTGATTCTGGTAGCTGGTGTGGCCCTGGCAGCTAGTGTGGTCCTGGCAGCTGGTGTGGTCCCTGCAGCTGGTGTGGTCCTAGCAGCTGGTGTGGTCCTGGCAGATGGTGTGGTCCTGGCAGCCGGTGTGGTCCTGGCAGCCGGTGTGGTCCTGGCAGATGGTGTGGTCCTGGCAGCCGGTGTGGTCCTGGCTGGTGGTGTGGTCTGGCAGCTGGTGTGGTCTGGCAGATGGTGTGGTCCTGGCAGCCGGTGTGGTCCTGGCAGATGGTGTGGTCCTGGCAGCCGGTGTGGTCCTGGCTGGTGGCGTGGTCCTGGCAGCTGGTGTGGTCTGGCTGGTGTGGTCCTGGATGGTGTGGTCCTGGCAGCTGGTGTGGTCTGGCAGATGGTGTGGTTCTGGCAGCTGGTGTGGTCCTGGCAGATGGTGTGGTCTGGCAGCCGGTGTGGTCCTGGCAGCCGGTGTGGTCTGGCAGATGGTGTGGTCTGGCAGCCGGTGTGGTCCTGGCAGATGGTGTGGTCCTGGCAGCCGGTGTGGTCCTGGCTGGTTGTGTGGTCTGGCAGATGGTGTGGTCCTGGCAGCCGGTGTGGTCCTGGCAGATGGTGTGGTCCTGGCAGCCGGTGTGGTCCTGGCTGGTTGTGTGGTCCTGGCAGATGGTGTGGTCAGCTGTGGTCTGGCAGCTGGCAGGGTGTGGTCCTGGCTGGTCCTGGCAGCTGGTTGGTCCAGATAGGCTGCTAGGGGTCATGGTGGGGGTGAAGGGCCGTGTCAACAGTGGGGGCGGGGGGCAGGACGGACGTACTATAGCTAATTGAAGGGCTGCATGTTGCGCGATCATGAAAGCCCTCACCGCCAGATGCCTCTTCTTTCACACGTAAACTTGCACGTGCATAAACATGGAAATGCACATGACTATACTCATCGCAGGATACATACACACATACACGATTGTATACACAGGCGTGAGTGCACACTTTCATTCACAGATACATACACAAAGACACACACATAAATGCATAAATTCACACAGACACTCACCCAGTCACAATGATGGGCCATCATTGTCTGGAAAGTAACCGGTTATTAAGCATGCGTTATAAATGTTTAATAGTGTTTTTAAGATGTTTTCAGGGAGCCTTTTCCTTAAACTACCTCAGACAGTGCATCATTTCTCCCATAGTTATTATTTGATTATTAGGTAGTAAGTTATAGTCTATATATTGCTTTGGGGTGATTCTATGTATGTGTCTTCCCATTTCGTCTTC